CGTCAGCATTCTTCTAAATCCTGCATAACAATTCTTTTCCTTATTGTTTTATAATACACGAGATTGATTTTTAATTTTTATTTTAAGTTTTTCAATATATAGAAAGAAATACAAGTACCTATATTCAGATTTTTGTATAAAGCTATATTTTATATAGGATAAAATATTTATAGGGTTTTCTAAATATATACAAAATAAGATTTCTTTATTTTGATTTAATGCAAAATAAGATTATTTCATTTTGGTTCAATAATACATTTAAAAATTAGCAATTGCATTAAAATTTTCTGGGATAAACTTACATAATTATAAATACCAAGATAAATACATATACAGAACAACTTACATGTTTAACATATAAAGTAACAATAGTAATATATTATGTACCATTTACTTTCTTTTTAACATTTGTACTGGTATAAAAATTGAAATATCGTTAAATATCGTTAAATTTCTTTTCTATCACTTCGTTTCTTAACTAAAAATTTTTGTGTTTTTCTTTAATATAGTATTAATAAATATACAGTTTAGATTGACAATGCATACTGCTGGAGTAAACAAAATTTTGAAATTTTCGAAAAGTAAAACTGATTATTTCTTGGAAATCTTTTTGACGTAAGTCACTTTGCAAGAAAAAAACTTACCATCAAAACTTCTCGAACAAGCGGAAAATAGATTCCAGCCGGAATGTAGCTGTGACGCCTGTGACAGTCTTCGCACGGTAATTGAAGACAGCTGTTGTTTTGTTGTTTTGTCACCACTCACCAGTAACGATACGTCACTTTCAAAATTCGTCAATTGAAATCGTCAGCTTCGGCAAAGATGGAATAGCTGAGGATTTTTACAATAAGTATTCAAGCCTTGTACATTTTAAGTTTTAAGAGAAGCCGATCGGAATTAAATCTTATTGCACCCGTGTAAGACACAACGGATTCTCTCTCAAATATTTACAAGTTAAAATAATCATAGTTCCAAATATTGGTTCATTAGCACTAATATTTTTTAAAACCTCTAAATAATTAAGATTAATATTGATATTTCATCGAAGCTTTTACGTAACAATTCTCCGACTTCAACAAATAATGCAAAACAATGATACTCGAATCCGTGATTTGAGACGATATGGTCAGATGTATTTTACGCGCCAGGAGGCGTTCAAAGACGTGGTAGCAGCTGAACGATTGCCTCTCCCGTCCTCTTAAGGAGAATTCACATCGGAGCAGAAAAGAAGGATGGGAAAAAGAGCAGAAGCCAATCAGAAGTTGTCCTTAACTATCAAGTGCTATATTTGAGCAGTAGGCTACGTTCTGTTGGTGCTTACAGCTCTTATAAGCATCATTTGTCCTTGTTTAATATTTGATAAACAACAATAATGAAATAAAATGATACTGTAAATACTGTAAGCGCCAAAACAAACGTAGCCATAAGAGAGAATTCACACTTTGACAGGAAAAGCAGAAGCCAATTACAACTCGCGTTGGTAGCAAGAAAAGCAGAAAGCAGAAACTGTTGATGCTTGACCAGCGCGAGTTCTGATTGGTTTTTGCTTTTCTGTCAAGGTGTGAATTCTCTCTAAGAGCGAATTCACACCTTGACAAAAAAGAAGAAGCTAATCAGAACTCATACTGTTAGCAAGAAAACCAGAAAGCAAAACGTGCTAAACGTGGTAGTCGATAGACTACCAACGCGAGTTCTGATTGGCTTTTGCTTTTCGGTTTTCCGCTTTTCTGTCAAGGTGTGAATTTACCCTAAGACTCCTGCACACTGGATGTGAGATATTTGCCGCGCGGCAAAATGCAACGCGGTAACCAATAAACGTACAGCTCCTAAAGAAAAATGACGCGTCCATTGGCTATCGCGTCGCATTTTGCCGCGGTAAGCATTTCCACGTTCAACATGTAGAAGTCCTAAATGCCGTAATCACACTAGCGATTGAGATTAATTAGATAGAAGTTTGATTAATCAAAAAAAAAAACTATTATCAAATTTAGTAAATTTTGTTTTATTTGATCAAATATTTCAATCTAATCAATTTTAAGCTCGTATCAAACTAAAAATTGAAATTGAGATTGGATTGGAATTTGACCAATCAAAACAAAATACACTAAATTTGAGTTTGGTTTCCTTTCTTCTAATTGGTTAAATCCAATTTCAATCTCAATCTTTAGTCCGATACGGGCTTAATAGGTATCTATAATCTTTATCTCAATCGCTAGTGTGATTATGGCTTAAGAATTTTAATATATCTTTTTGGGAGTCGATTGTGTATTTTAAAACGAGGAGATAAATACAAAAATGAGCGAATTCACTAAATATTGGCCAATGAAATTAAAAATTTTCTAGTAAATTTACTCACTTTTATTATTTTTACCTTATTTCAAGATACACAATTGCGGGCTTAAAATCGTGTATTTTACAGTGGTTTCTAATAGATTGAAAATCTTGTGTTTAGTTTCCTAATTTTCCATTGTGGCTTATAATGCAAAACTCAATTTGAATTCTATTAAATCCAGTCTACAATTGAGTAAGCGTTAATTGTAAATAGTTGTATAGTTGTAAGAATTGACCAATCACAATCAAATATAAGAAGAATTTTCGACTGTACTGATTGGTCAGTTTTAACAATTACACCATTTACGACTACGATTTTAGGCAATTGTAGACTAGGCTTAAGGAGAAGCATTAACCTCAACGGCTAACGAGTTTTCGATGCGTTGGATGTGTGCAGCGTGGATCTCGTTGTTCTGAACTAATTCTTTTCTATTTCTAATATTAAAGTATTTGTGAAAGAGTCATTTGAAATTGTTTCAAGTGATTGTATATTGATTTAACTTGATCGTAATACTGAAATCAAGCGTATCATTATGATTACGGCAACTTGGCGATTACTGTCTCCTATTAATAGGAAGCAGCTTAATCTGTTGAATTTCTTTTGCACTAGGTAAAGAAAATTACTTTGCTATTCTACAATTGACAATTTAAATCTGAATAATAGTTTTTAAATTTTTTATAAATCATGGTGTAATATATTTGATCATGAAATAAGAACAAGTAAAATTTTTCGGCAACGTGGAAATCATTGCAGCAATTTATAAATGGATATTACCACGTGATTTTGCTTTCTCCGTTATTGCAATTATCTCAGAATACATTTTGATTAATGTACATAAAAAAATAAGTACTAAAATGACAGATAAAATGTTTGTACAATCATTTTTTTATCTCTCGTTTATCTCTTAAGTTGTACAATATAGACAAGTAAACGAATAAAGTAGAATGTTGATATCGTGGAAATAACAATAAATGGAAATTCTTAAATTTTTTTTATTAGGGAATTTGCTTCCACACAAGATTTTACTACATCGAAATTGAAACATGGTATAAAAAAAGATACCTTACCATCAAACCCAAAGAAGCCACTAAATACATTTCTGTTATACTACACCTCTATAAAGAACAAATTGCAAGAAGAGTATCCCAATTCCAAACAAACTGTTATTATGAAAAAAGCATCAGAGAAATGGGCACAAATTGACCCAACGATAAAGCAGAATTTTCAAAAGCAATATCTTGAACAAAATTCTGTGTATAAGCAGAAGTTAATGGATTATGAGAATTCTTTAACTAATAAACAGAGGGTTGAAGTAATACAAAGATTATTGGAACAAGGACATACTTCGAAAAAACCCGAAATCAAACAAGTATTTAATATGACATTTATAGCAATAACATTTGATATAACATCTATTGTATTCTAAAATATATTTCCAAATTATGTAACATTCCTTTATTTTTTTTTACAGAGACTTACAGAACTTGGAAAACCAAAACGGCCACTGTCTGCCTTCATATTATTTTTGCAAAATAAAAGGATTACCAAAAAACCACAAATATCCTACAAAGTAAGTTAATTATTGATAATTATATGATCTAAACTGTATATGTCTTATATAAATTATTTAGGTATATTTTGTTTTTTGTATGTTTATAAAATATGATCTGTGATAAGATATTTAAAACACTTTTAGGTTTTTTGAGGCAGTTAAATTTGAAGCTATATTAAAATAACTTTTTTTAATATTTCTAGGATTGGATATATGATGTAACTGAAGAATGGAAGAATATGCCGATGGAAGATAAAAATAAATATAATGCAGAAGCAAAAGATTTATTAGAAAAATATAAGATTGAATTGAAAAAATGGCAGGAAGATATGATTAAAGCAGGTCATTATGATTTTGTAAAACTCAATGTTAAACCTAAACTCGAGACTCGTAAACGTGAAAAATAGGATTCAGAGTGCCCCAACCAATATAGAATATCCATCGCTGAATCCATTGCTGCAAATTTCTCCAATGTTAGAATAAAAAATAAAGAGAATATTAAAATAGGTTGGGGCACTGATACTACACAGTGTGCATTTGGAAAAGATCCTGATACTAACATAGGTAATAAGAAAATTGGATTAACTTTGAAAAGATTGTATTTATTTTTATTTACAGTTTGTAAAAATTATAAAACATTTAATTTTGATTTAGATGAACGACATGGATCTACAGAGGACATGGTACTTCGCGATAAAAATGTTTTACAAACTGCAATGGAATATCCAAGAAATATGGCAATGGATACATCGATAAACGATGTTAAAAAGACAGTTATACCTCATTGTACACATATACATACACAGATATATACATATTTTGTCTCGACATGGAAAAGAGTTTTGACAGTCCTAACTGAGATTAGAGAAAACTGGAAGATGGTAAGAGAATACATATTTATTGGCACAGTTGGAATTCTAATATCAATATTTTGCGTTTTGAATCTTATGTATAAGTAAGTACCGTGTGTATATACCGAAACTTATTAACTTGTATTTTATTTTTATACATTATGCACTTTGTAACAATGATATATATTTTATTTCTATAATAAATTTATATAACTGTCATTTTTGTGTAAAATATTCCTTGATTATTGTGTTAATTAAATCATCCTTAATTTGCATATACAATGTATATAAAAAAATTGCACATGATATATAGAACTTAATGTCTCGAACATATTAGTATTTTAAGTTTTATTTTTAAAATTGTATGTACTAACATCAAGTCTTTTCTTCTTCTTTTTTGTAGAAATTTTACTAACCCAAATGAGGTGACTGTTATGATGATGACAACAGCAGATGCATATGATGTCTTATGCCATCTCAACATTTTACATATATTCATTATATTTACATCATTACATTTACATTAACGATTGTGAAATTTATCTTAAAATGAATTATATTTCTTCTTATTATTTTTTCTTTCTTATATGAGTGTGTACGATTTTATAAGTTTATGAACTACAAAGACTTGAATATGTTTCAATCCAAACTAAAAGTTAATATACTTTATATATATTTACATATTTTTTTTTTTTCAGTTTAAATATCAATATCATCCTTATCATAGTCCATCAATCCACATTACAATCCAATTTTTCTAATCTTGACTTGTTAGAACTAAGCAATTTATTTTAGGTTTTTTTTTCAATATGTAATTTTCCAAGTATGTAATATTTATCTAAATTAACATAAAAATATGACAGACTCATATCTATGCGCATCTGTAACATCACTGAGTCAGATCTGTCTATTTTAAGAAAAAAAACATAAATGTCCGAAATAAGAAATTAATTTCAATGCATGGAAACAACTTTCTTCGCTATTTCACTGAATTATGTGCTTGCACATAGAGTGACAATTAAAGACAGAAAGTTAAAAAAAAAAATTGCTCGATTCTGATAAGTTAAGAATAAGGAAATACGATTGTATCAAGTGCCATACTTCATTGTGGTATCAGATTAACACATCATGTATTTGTGTAATTGTCAGTTGAAAGATCAAAAGCGTCTATTATTTTTCTTTTAAGTTAGTTCATTCTGTAAAGAATGACTTAGATTAAATTTCCATTAACTTAAATCAAGAAGAAATTAATTCAACTAACAGAATTCTTTGCGATGAAATTTATAAAAACAATTTGTTGCTCCTAACTTCAATCTCTTTTTCCACATGTGTTTCAAATCAAATCAATATCATTCTATCCAAAAAATTAATTCCTATCATTCTATCCATGTTAACAGAATGATGCAAGTACTCGATAAGTTAATCATCGATTTATTATAATTAAACGGAGTTTAATCGAAGCCTCTAATTAAATAATTTAAATACATTATGTCTGTCATCAATATTAGAAACATTATTTATAAGGAACGCGTCCGCTGAAGTAGGTGCTTCTGAATTTCCATAACAGATCTACGAATCTCAAGACAAAATCTCAATTCGAAATCATTGCAGTATACTTCAAATGGAATTTTGGTCAAATGAGAATTCCTTGTAAATCTGACAAAAAGAAAAAAACGCTGTCTGATGATAAACTGATAAGACGAACAAACCTAACCTCCAATCATTTTTTTATAATTTTGCAAAAATCTGATATTGATTAATTGATAGAGTAGATCTGCTTTCAAAGAAGGAGAAGAAAAACAAAAGCACGTTTTTTCTCCAAGTTATTGTGATCGTGAATGATCATAAATTTATTTCACTTGAACTTCCTCGTTAACCTCTTTGATTGACACGCAGTTTGGATGTGCATGTACAAATGTTACAAAAAGGATCGTGTAAATATTAGCTGTCGATTCGATTGTTAAATACGACGATGGCTGAGATCAACGCCAGGAGAGAAGCGAGAAGGCGGCGAATATTAGAAAACTCCGAAAGTCGTCTACGTAGAATTACAGGGAGGGTCAATCCGGGTGAGATCGAGGGTGAGTAAATATAACCAATATCTGCTAGGCAGATTACGCGTTTAGAATTCAGATTTAATGTGAGACGCACGAGAGGGAATATATATCTATACTTCAATAGTACTTTAAATAAATAAACACGAAAGATTTTGATAAATGCGCTCGGCAAATGCACTGAGCGAAATTTGACAGTGTGCCAGCAGTTTGTCAGCAAATTTGAGCTTCAGCGAATTGGCATCGGCTGTATTTGCATTAAGCTTGCATTCTTCTGGCAGAATTTGCTGATGTCGCAGCAGATTGACGGCGGAAATCGAGCAGAATCTAATTTATTTCTGTATTCAACCTGCATCAAACAATATGGAGCAAGTGTATCAAAATCTGCTTGATTTCTGTTACCTACCATAGCTTGTTGATAAACTTCGCTATGTTTCTGCCAGCATTCTGTCAACTATTATATATGCCAGATTTTATGTTAAATCTATAATTTTTCTGTCGACAAAGTTTTGTAACATAAATTTTATAAAGTTTGTTTGACAAAAGTACTTGAGTAGTTGGCTGTCTAGGAAAAAAGTTAGTTGCAAGATGAGCATTATTATTTAATATTAAGAAAAATATTGTGAATGTCTTTGTCAAATCAATTTATACAAATTAATTTAATGCATGCTTATTTTTTTATTTTCTCAATGTGAATTATTTGTCAAGTTGTAGAAAGAGAAAAACATAATTCTGAAGTTGTTACAAGATGCCATGCTTGCGTCAAGAATTATAAAAAGAAAATTACAACATTGCATTAACTGTAGGAAACCATTATTTTGCTGAATTCAATTTTCCTATAAGGACAATTTATATTAATTACAACTCTCTCTCTCTTTCTCTCCATTTGTAAAACAAATGATGATTTATGCTTTGACAGTGTTGAAATCTAGATTCTTTAAAATTAGAGAGATTGGTTTCAATTCCTGGCAATAATTAGTCTTTAAATAATTATACAACGAACTATCCTTGCATATCACTGCATTGGCACAACTATTTTGTCAGATTTTTCAGTGTTTTGACATTTCAGAATATGCCATCATATAGAAAAAAAATAAAGTTTTTAAAGTTAAGGAAGAAAGTTGTTTTTATTTATTCTTGCTGTGGTCCCTTCAAATATTTGTATAAATAATATTTATTTTTGATAGAACTTTTTCTCAATATATATAAATTGTCTTGGACAGATTCAGTTTAAGAATATTTTGCAGATAATGAGCCACGAGTGGAAAGCGACAGTCTTAAAGCGGAATCGAATTTTGAAGAGGATAATATCAGAAATGGTGTATACAATATCAATAGCGACACGAAATTGCAGGATTGCGCAAGATTTGATGACAGACATGAAAGCTTTTTAAATGACACCAGTGATAAGAATACACATTCGCCGGAACAAGAATCTAAATCAAAATTTATGTTATCTACATTATTGCTCAATCGTGTCACTTTTATCTTGTTAGCTGGAATTGTCAATATTTTGCTGGTGTTGAAACTCGACAATTTATTTGGACAGGTATATATATTAAAGTTATATTTAAGATTTTATATTTAAATATAAAATCTTATATTTCATTGAAATATGTTGATAACTTAATTAACTATTGTTACTATTTACAGGCAGTTATTATACCTTGCTTATTATTGATAGTGGGACGTTTATATAGACGTATGACATTACATGAAGCACAAGAGCACGGCAATTTATTAGCTGCTGCTTTGGTATTGTGCAATGTTAAACCCAGATTAATTTATATATTCAAAGTATCATACACATTATTCACTGTAGTGCTTAATGATTTCGGTTTATATATGTTTAGTTTTGTATTGATGCGCTATACCATTATTCGTTATTATTATAATGCTGCAATACCAATAAATGCATAATTACTCATGATAATCGAATGAGTAAAGATGAAGTGAAAATTCAATTGTTGGAAATTTTATACAATGTAAAAAAGACAAAGGATGTTCTCAGAAGAAAAATAAATTGTGATATATTGCATTATTTAAAAACATGCAGCTGTCATCAGATTTTTCACGTTTTCAGCATTGTGTCGTGATTTTGATTCAAGCATGTACAGATGTATAAAAAATACTAATTTTTCTAGAAAATACATGTAATTATAATAAATATAATTATATACAAATGTATAAATAAATATAATTTTGAAATAGGTTTATATATAGATATAATAACTTTTTGTAATTTATATTTATGTCAACGTTGTAAATTCGCAATATTTTTTTTCTCATTCTTCTCTGTGGTTATTAATTAGAGTTAAACTTCACTTTTAAGCGTTTTGATGTAAAATTGTAAAACAAGTGCAACTGATCACTACTGTTAAGGATAATTGTGCACTCATTTTCTTTATTTTATAAAAACAAATACAAAAAAATAAGTAAAAACTAATCTTACAATCTTATTATATAATCCTAATCTAAAAGCAAATTAAAAATACAGGTAGCTAGAAATCAGCAGTACAAGCAAAATATACATACAAACATATATATCTGTATAATAGTTTTTCAATTTATAATTAAACAGATTTTTGCAAAGTTTTTTTAGACATATCTACCTTGTTGAAATTTTTTTTAGAAATCCTTCATATAATTTTTTAAAAATTTTCAAAAATTCTGTAAAATTGTATAACTTTTTAGAAAATTTCTCAAATTTTTTTATAGAAACTTTTCAGAATTGCTGCGAAAGTTTACTATTTTTTCTAGAATTCTTCATATACAAATTCTAAAAGAAATCTCAGAGATTCTAATTAAAATTTCTAAGAAATATTTCTCATTCTACAATTTCTAAAGAAACTTATATAAAATCTAAAAAAGGTTAATGTATTTTTTCAGAAATTCTTATAAATTTAAAATATAGCAAATTCTTAAAAATATAAGATATAAGAACTTTTTTCACCAGGATATAATATACTTCTTGCGTTCCTTTTGAGGAAATCCGCATTGTGAAGGAGAATTTGAAACTTGGCGCGAGATACATATTTATTAATTGATTGGTCCGAGAATTTGTAATCGAGTTGAGACAGTGATAGCACTGAGGTGTCTTATCAGTGCGTAGTACACATATATATGTAGTACAAATGTTAATTTCTGATTTTTTGCCTGTTTTACACCGGTTGATAGAAGGGAATAGAAAGTGCCTTCAACCTGTTCGTATGGTTATATAACACATTCCTAATTCCTGATGCAATAGCAAAGTTATCCTTCAATCGCTAGTTATTGCTAGTCAGTCGCATATCGTTTGCATACGTGAGATTATCGCGAGACTATCCAAACGTCAATTAAGTAAAATGTTACGTAGGGGTGCATGCCAAATTGCCAGCTCGATTCATTCAAGTCCTCACGCAGAGATACATGACGTTCCGATGGACGTAATTATCAGCCCTTTCCCCGCCGTAGTGGACGAGGAAAAGATCCAAGGTTTAATGAACGCGTTGAAAAACGCCGAGACTGAGCACACGGTACCGCCCATCGACATCTTGTGGATTAAAGGAAGCAAAGGTGAAGTTGTCAAAGTACCTATAATATAGCTGCGTGAAAAGTGGTTTTTACAATTCTTATTAAATTTATGAATTATTATTTTGTGCTAATTTTGATATTTTTAAGTAAACGAGATTATAAATGATTGTAAAGCAAAATCTTAGGAAGATTAAAATTATTGATTGATTTATTTAGGTGGTGACTACTATTATTCTTTTGGTGGCTGTCATCGTTATACCGCCCATCAACGATTAGGTAAAATGTCTATTAAAGCCAAAATAATTCAATCAACCTTGACGGATTTACGATGTTATCTGGGAAATTCTACTCCAGACTTGAAGTAATTTTAAGTGCACACTACTTGTACTTAATATATGCATACAATCTGTATGCATATTATATACCCATTTTTAATTATAGGTATATGAATTGAATTACTTATATACATGAATAATATGTATAAACATATATAATTTTTTACTATTATATTGTATTAACATATATTGTATATAATTTGAAGAAAAATAATGATGTGCAGTTAAATCGAGTTTATAGCAACATTACTGCACATATTTTATAAAAGATACATTTAAAGCGTCAAATATATTTTTTTCATGTAATATAATTTTTTATAATGTAAATAGAAAAGCTAAGCGATATCTACATATAAAATTAATTTTGAATAAAATTATTTTTATCCAAACTAAATGTGTTATTAATTTGCTATTCCTCTTGCTCTGAATGGTAAATAAATTGATATCTTTATATAAAAATTTGATTTTTTACAAGAATTTCTATTCTAAATTTATTTCAAAATAATTTGTCTTCTACTTCTTGTTATATAAGTAAAACCTTGAAAAGGGACTGAAAAACAAAATATTTGTCGTATAACAATCTTAAAAAAAAGATTAACTATAAGCTTATCACTTGCGCAAAATTAATTAAAATAGAAGACAGTTTAAAATTAATTTATTTTTTGTAACATACATCATAAATAACAGACGTTATACTTAATAATAATAATGATATATATATATATATATATATA